AAATTGGATATCACATTGGAGAGAGGGAGCATGGAAGAATTGAATGTTTTGAGATATTTGGGAGTTGACGTGTCGGCAGATGGATTTATGAAGGATAAGGTTAACCATAGAATTGATGAAGGAAAAAAGGTGAATGATGGAGGCAAAGAGGGGAATTTATGAAAGTATAGTAGTACCAACACTCTTATATGGGTATGAAGCTTGGGTTGTAAATGCTGCAGCGAGGAGGCAGTTGGAGGCGGTGGAGATGTCCTGTCTAAGGGCAATGTGTGGTGTAAATATTATGCAGAGAATTCGGAGTGTGGAAATTAGAAGGCGTGGAGTTAATAAAAGTATTAGTCAGAGGGCTGAAGAGGAGTTGTTGAGGTGGTTCGATCATTTAGAGAGAACGGATCAAAGTAGAATGACATGGAGAGTGTATAAATCTGTAGGGAAAGGAAGGCAGGGTAGAGGTCATCCTTGAAAAGGTTGGAGGGAGGGGGTAAAGGAGGTTTTGTGGGTGAGGGGCTTGATTATTTTTATATAGCCAGATTTGAGTACTGGAAATGGGAAGTACGTACAGTGCATGCACTTTAAAGGAGGGGTTTGGGATATTCGCAGTTTGGAGGGATATGTTGTGTATATACGTATATGCTTCTAAATAATTTCTGTTGTGTTCTGGGAACCTGTGCAAAAACAGTGATTATGTATGAGTGAGCTGAAAGTGTTGAATGATGATTAAAGTATTTTCTTTTGGGGGATTTTCTTTTTGGGTCACCCTGCCTCGGTAGGAGATGGCCAACTTGTTAAAAAAAATGTATGAAAGAGGGGAAGGTACCTAGGGATTGGCAGAGAGCTTGTATAATTCCTTTATATAAAGGGAAGGAGGACAAAAGAGACTGTAAAAATTATAGGGGAATAGGTTTACTGAATATACCAGGTAAAGTGTATTTTAGGGTTATTATTGAAAGAATTAGAGGTAAGACAGAAAGCAGGATTGCAGATGAGCAAGAAGGCTTTAGAATGGGTAGGGGATGTGCAGATCAGGTGTTTACATTGAAGCATGTATGTGAACAGTATTTAGATACAGGTAGAGAAGTTTTCATTGCATTTATAGATTTAGAAAAGGCATATGATAGAGTGGATCGGGGAGCAATGTGGCAGATGCTGCAAGTGTATGGATTAGGTAGTAAGTTACTAAATGCTGCAAAGTTTTATGAGGATAGTGAGACTCATTATTATTATAATCAAAAAGAAGCGCTAAGCCATAGTGAGACTCAGGTTAGGGTGTAGGAAAGAGGATTACTTCCCAGTAAATTAGGCCTTAGACAGGGATGTGTAATGTCACCATGGTTAACATATAGATGTGGTTGTAAAAGAAGTAAATGCTAGGGTGTTGGGGAGAGGGGTGGGATTAAATTATGGGGAATCAAATACAAGATGGGAGTTGACACAGTTACTTTTTGCTGATGATACTGTTCTTTTGGGGGATTCTAAAGAAAGGTTGCAAAGGTTAGTGGACGAGTTTGGGAAGGTGTGTAAAGCAGAAAGTTGAAAGTGAATATAGATAAGAGTAAGGTGATGAGGGTATCAAAGGATTTAGATAAAGAAAACTTTTCAATCACACTGGAGGAAGTATGGAAGAAGTGAATATTTTCAGATATTTGGAAGTTGACTTGCCAGTGGCTGGGTTTGTGAAGGATGAGGTAAACCATAGAATTGATGAGGGAAAAAAGGTGAGTGGTGAGTTGATGTGTCTGTGGAGATAAAGAACGTTCTCCATGAAGGCAAAGAAAGGAATGTATGAGAGCATAGTGGTACCAACACTCTTATGTGGGTGTGAAGCATGGGTTGTAAATGCTCCAGTGAGAAGGCAGCTGGAGGCAGTAGAGATGTCGTGCGTAAGGGCAATGTGTGGTGTAAGTAATATGCGGAGAATTCGTAGTGTGGAAATTAGGTGTGGAGTTACTAAAAGTATTACAGCCTCTCCTCACTTAACGATGGAGTTCCGTTCCTGAGACCACATCGTTAAACAAATTCGTCGCTAAGTGAGAAGAATGCTATAATGGTAGCAAGTTTGTATCAACCATCTTTGATAGTTTTAATGTCACCTTTTCACCATTTATAACATTTCTGGTATATTTTTAAATATTTATACAGTAGTGTACTGTATGTTGAAATAAACAGAATAGAGGAAATCAGCCCTAATATACATTATTTAGGTGTGAATACTGGTCAGAGAGCCCGTCGTAAGTCCAAGGCGTCAGTAAATGAGTACGTCGCTAAGTGAGGAGAGGCTGTAGTCAATTATTATTATTATTATTATTATAATCAAGAGGGAAGCGCTAAACCCGGAGGATTATACAGCGCCTGGGGGGTGGGGATGTGGAAGGCATTCAGGCTTAATTCGGGGAACTGGAGCACAGATCCAATTCCCTAAATCAAGAGCCCCTCACCAACATCAAGGAACCTTCCTTGAGGGGGCTGTAGTCAAGAGGGCTGAAGAGGGGCTGTTGAGGTGGTTTGATCATTTAGAGAGAATGGAAGAAGGTAGAATGACTTGGAGAGCTCATAAATCTGTTGGGGAAGGCAGGGTTGGGGTCATCCCCAGAAACGTTGGAGGGAAGGGGTAAAGGAGGTTTTGTAGGCGAAGGGCTTGGACTTCCAGCAAGCGTGCATTAGCACATTGAAAGTGAATGGAGGAAAATCGTTTTTGGGACCTTACGAACTGTTGGAGTGTGAGCAGGGTAATATTTTGTGAAGGGATTCAGGGAAACCAGTTAGTCAGACTCGAGTCCTGGAAAAGGGAAATACAGGGGTTTAGGATATTGGCAGTTTGCAGGGCCTTCTAAACTGTTGTATCTGAGTGCCTCTGCAAAGACAGTGATTATGTATGAGTGAGGTGAAAGTGTTGAATGATTAACCCTTTGAGGGTTTCGGCCGTACTAGTACGGCTTACGACCCAGGGTTTTTGACGTACTAGTACGCCTAAATTCTAGCGCCCTCAAATCTAGTGGGAGAAAGCTGGTAGGCATACATATGAAAGAATGGGTCTATGTGGTCAGTGTGCGCAGTATAAAAAAAATCCTGCAGCACACAGTGCTTGAGAAAAAAAAAACCGACTGTTTTTGGAATAAAACAGCGAGTTTGCACTGTATTTTCGTATGGTATTTGTTATTGTGCATCTAGAAACTGAGATGATTTTGACTGGTTTTACAATGAAAAGTACCTTGAAATTGAGCTCAAAGTAGCAGAAATGTTCGATTTTTACCAGAGTTCAAAAGTAAATAAATCATGCCAAGCGTCCAATACATGTCAACTGGCGAGTCTAATATTCTTTCACAAGTGCGCTGATATTATTTATACCATTTCTACACTAATGCAGTAGTCTGCATAACAGTAAATCTTCTATTTTTTTGTAAGAATAAAAATTGAAAGTGGAAAGCCAAAGAAATATAAGAGGGGCCTGGGGATGTGACTAATGAACAGAGGAAATGTTATTTTAGTGCCAGGAATGTCTTCTTGTTTATTCTGGACTCTATTTGGAAATTGGCATCTTTTGAAATTTGTGTGAAATTGGCAAAGTTGCTAAATTCTGACCACTGTATTGGATAGTTGAAATCAGTAAATGGGTGGTTTCTTGTACTCATTCAGTATAAAAAATGGAGTTCTAGAGAAATAGTTATGATTTTTGTCGACTAATACACAGGAATTGGCCAAACATAGGGCTCAAAGTGGGCAAAATCGCCGATGCGTAAACATCGTCAAGACCGCTAACTTCGCGAGAGCATAATTCCGTAAGTTTTCCATCAAATTTCATACTTTTGGTGTCATTATGATCGGTTAAAGATTCTATATATTTTCATAAGAAAAAATATTTTTTTTTTTTGAAATTTGGCCGACCCTGAGAACAAGTCTCGGAGAGGGCCTGTTGACCCTGAAAAGGTTAAAGTATTTTTCTTTTTGGGTCACCCTCAGTGGGAGATGACTGATGTTAAAAAAAACAGGTACTAAACCCATAGGGGTCAGAGCACCTGGAAAAATGAAGGCATTCATGTTTGTTCAGTCAGATTCTTTAGATCAAGTGCCCTTTACCTGTATCAAGGAACCTTCCTTAAGGGGAGTTTGTTTAAAGGTAGGATAATTCCAGTTTCTTGGATGAAGAGCCCTACACTAACTTTTAAAGCATCTACCTCGAGTAGCATAGATATTTAAAAAAATGTGGTGGGCAACCAACACATTTTAATGAAAAAAAAAAAAATTTTGTTCAAAATATGCTCACTGGATTTCCAATGCTCAAATCTGTTTTCCTTCTTTTAGGAATTCAATATAAACCATTTAAAAGCAAATTATATTTATAGGGGAAACTAAACCCACAGGTGCTAAACATTTTTGTTATATGACCTGTAAGGGTCATTTAACACCTGGGGAATGAGAGGTATTTAGGTTCACTTCAAGGAAGGTTAGAGGTCATACAGTGCCTGGGAACAAAAAAGAAATAAATTTCAATCTAAGGGGAGGATAGCTCCAATTCCCTTAATACTCGAGGGCCCATCACCAGCATTAGGGCATTGCCTTTGAGGGGTCGAGGAAGGGAAAGGTAGCTCAAATTCCTTTGACTAAAAGCCTTTACAAGCATAAAGGCAACCCCCTATTTGAAAGATTGCTTGGTCCTGGACCAGAAACCTTTTAATTATGTCCTATTAAAATTTTTTTTCTATCTTCAGAATGCTCCAGTTACTTACGAATTTGTCATAGCACCAGGGATTCTCAATTATTTTTTGGTAAAAGAATATCCATTAATACCGTTTCTAAAAGAAAAATTAAACATCAGTCAAATGTTGGTAGAGTTAATATAGTAAGAGCCAAATAAATATGAAATAATTATTTAAATATTAAATTTCGGTACACAGATTAATTTTTTAAATGTTTGGCATTTCTTTGAAAAAATATTCTGAGAACATGGTCTGCCAAAAATGCTCAAAGTTGGAGTCAATTTTTCAAGGAGACAAAGAATACAATCATAGAATAATTTTATTGATAAAAAGATTTGTAACTATACATGACTACATATATTCAAACGTACTCTGTTATATGTATGACTAAAAATAAAAAGTAAACAAATTGTTGGCAAAGAATACTTAAGTCATTTGAAGAAATACCTTTTGTGCTCCATAATTAGGAACAACAATTACATGAAATTTGCTAACAACTTGTCAACATAAGTATCACATTTAACAGCTGCAATAGCTTAAACTGAATGAAGACAGCCTTGAGATTGATCACCCAAATACCAATCATTCTGAATAACTGGCATCAGGGACTAATGTTAAAGTTTGGTGAAATCTGAGTCATCTGAAACCATGGCACATATCCAGTTGCACCAGAACATAAAAATGCCCAGGCAAATTGATTTCAAAGATAACCATAGCATGTAGCCCAGGATGAGTTCTCTCTCTCAGGAGGCTGCAACACAGCAGGTACTGGCAGCGCCTGACAGTCAGTGCAAGGCGGTGGTGGTCATCAGAAGGATCTTCCTAAGTATAATGTTGTACTTTGTGTTGTCACCTCTAGGAACCCATGCCGACTGTACAAGTCTAAATAATTTTTTTCTCCAACATTCACACTGCAGTGGCCACCAAATATACCTGAAAATTTACAGAGATCTATTAACCTTTTCAGTGGCTGTCATGTAGATCTATGTTATTGATGCCTGAGTCCCTCATGAAGATCTAAGTTTTGAGCACAGCCCCCCTGATAAGCTGTAAGCAGCATATTTTGGTCTATTAGACAAAGAGTGTGTGGCGAGTGTGCATAGTATAAAAAAAAAAATCCTGCCCCTCACAGTGAATGATGGGAAAACTAAAACTCTGACCTTGTTTCTGGTTTAAAACAGTGACTGGGGTGTTTTCTAGGATGGCTTTTAAGGTTTTATTGATTATTGTTTGGTGTCACTTGATAGACTGGAGGATATACTGCTGAAATAGAAATGAGTTTGGTTGGTTTCAGGACTGAAAGCAGCTTGATATTGGGCTCCAATTAGTAGAAATTAAATTTTTGCCAATTTTCCTGAGGGTGGGAATGGCCCCCCTCCCAACACCGCCAGTCTGTTTTATGGATTTTTAATAGATCCGATTCAATTATTGGGACACCATAAACCACAACCAATCATTCCTGTTATTCTTTATAGCCAAGACATAAGGTAAATCTTTTATTTTTTATGTGATGCATTCAAAATGGAAGGCAAGTTTAATATAGGAGAGGCCTGGGGACATGACTAACATAAAGAGGAAATGTTTTAGTGCCTGGATTGTCTACAATGATTGTTTTAGACTATTTTTAAATTTTAATTTTTTAAATTTTATACAAAATTGGCCAAATTACTGACTGTGCATTTTGTAGGGTAGTTCTGATAGTTGAACGGGTGGTATATTGTGCACAATCAATGGAATGGAAGGCATACTAGCAAAATAGCTAAGAATTTCACTGAATAGAGCATTTTAATTGGTTTAAAATAGGACTAAGTGTGCAAAATCATTGATGCACAAATTGCACCCAGACTGATAATTCTGAAAGGTTTCTATAAATTTCATATTTTTGGTGTCATTACCTTTAGAAAAAGATTCTCTACCATTTCAGAAGAATTTTAATTTTTTAATTTGGACACTGGGAGCAAAAATTAATTTAAGGGGTCTGGCCAGTGAAAGGGTTAAAATTGATAATGTTAATGTATAAAGTAAGACTTTTACACAGTTTAAACGTTTGTACATTTTTATATGTGGGAGAAGAAAAATGAGGGATGAGTGAAAAAATGAGGGAGGAAAGAGTAAAAAAAAAAAAAAAAAAAAAAAAGAGGGATAGAAGAGTGAACAAAATGGGGGAGAGAAGGATGAGGAAATAAGAAACAAGGGAGGAGGAGAAAATGGTAAGGAGAGTGAGATGATAAATGGGGGATAGAAAATGGATGGGGGAGAAGAGAGACGAGAGGGTGGTAAAGAGAGAAACTGAGCAAGGAAGGAAAACAGAAAAGAGGCAGAGAAGAGAGTAAAATAAGAGATCAAGCAAAGACAGCAAGACAGGAGGGGGAGAGCAAAGAACAAGATGGGAGAGGGAGAACAATAAATGAAAAGAGGGGGGAGAAGACAGCAAGAGTACAGGACAAGAGCAAGAGAAGGGAGGACAGGATGAGAGCAAGAGAAGGGAGGACAGGACAAGAGCAAGAGAAGGGAGGACACGATGAGAGCACGAGAAGGGAGGACTGGACGAGAGCAAGAGAAGGGAGAACAGGATGAAAGCAAGACAAGGGAGGAGAAGATCAACAGAAAGCCAGGAAAATGATCAAGAGAATGGAGAAGGGGAAGATAACAAGAGAAGGTACGATGGGGAGAGAAAGTTGTGTGATTTACAAAGTGCTTTGACTTGTCATTTTTTTTTTTTTACAAAGCTAAATACTGTACAATCACACATACTCAAAAGCCAAAACTAAAACACATTATATCTTAACCTGATGACCTGTGCTCACTATATGTAGCCTAACTTAAGCATTTTTGATACCGCCGAGGTAGATGATCAGAAAATCAATAATAATAATAATAATAATAATAATAATTCTAGGTAGTAGGTTGGTAGACAGCAACCATCCAGGGAGGTACTACCGTCCTGCCAAGTGAGTGTAAAACGGAAACCTGTAATTGTTTTACATGATGGTAGGATTGCTGGTGTCCTTTTTTCTGTCTCATGAACATGCAAGATTTCAGGTACGTCTTGCTACTTCTACTTACACTTAGGTCACACTACACATACATGTACAAGTGTATATATACATACCCCTCTGGGTTTTCTTCTATTTTCTTTCTAGTTCTTGTTCTTGTTTATTTCCTCTTATCTCCATGAGGAAGTGGAACAGAATTCTTCCTCCGTAAGCCATGCGTGTTGTAAGAGGCGACTAAGATGCCGGGGGCAAGGGGTTGGTGACCCCTTCTCCTGTATATATTACTAAATTTGAAAGGAGAAACTTTGGTTTTTCCTTTTGGGCCACCCCGCCTCGGTGGGATACGGCCGGTGTGTTGAAGAAATTCTAGGTAGTAGGTTGGTAGACAGCAACCGCCCAGGGAGGTACTACCGTCCTGCCAAGTGAGTGTAAAACGAAAGCCTGTAATTGTTTTACATGATGGTAGGATTGCTGGTGTCCTTTTTTCTGTCTCATAAACATGCAAGACTTCAGGTACGTCTTGCTACTTCTACTTACACTTAGGTCACACTACACATACATGTACAAGCATATATATATACACACACCCCTCTGGGTTTTCTCCTATTTTCTTTCTAGTTCTTGTCCTTGTTTACTTCCTCTTATCTCCATGGGGAAGTGGAACACAGAATTCTTCCTCCGTAAGCCATGCGTGTCATAAGAGGCGACTAAAATGCTGGGAGCAAGGAGCTAGTAACCCTTTCTGTATATATTACTAAATGTAAAAGAAGAAACTTTCGTTTTTCCTTTTGGGCCACCCTGCCTCGGTGGGATACGGCCGGTGTGTTGAAAGAAAGAAAGAAAGAAAGAAAGAAAGAAAGAAAGAAAGAAAGAAAGAAAGAAAGAAAAAGAAAGAAAAAGAAAGAAAGAAAGAAAGAAAGAAAGAAAGAAAGAAAGAAAGAAAAAGAAAGAAAAAGAAAGAAAGAAAGAAAGAAAAAGAAAGAAAAAAGAAAGAAAAAAGAAAGAAAGAAAAAAGAAAGAAAGAAAGAAAGAAAGAAAAAGAAAGAAAGAAAGAAAGAAAAAGAAAGAAAGAAAGAATGAAAGAAAAAAGAAAGAAAGAAAGAAAGAAAGAAAGAATAAGAATAATAAGAATAATAAGAATAATAAGAATAAGAATAATAATAATAATAATAATAATAATAATAATAATAATAATAATAATAGTCGGCCGTCTCGGTGGGAGACGGCCAACTTGTTGAAAAAAAAAAAAAAAATTAGCCAACTTCATGCACTAAACTAATATGGATCATAAAGCACTGTGGATGGGAGAGAGGTATACAGAATAGGAGTGTGGGAAAAATAGGTTGGTGAAGGGTAGGAGTGTACCTGTAGTAGGGATAAATCAAGGTGGAGTACTAGGGCGAGTGTAAAATTTAAATCAAAGTTGGTGCAGATTAGTTTCCGTAAGTGTGAAAAAAGGGACTTTCAGCAAAGGGAATCAATTAGTGTGTGCTAGGACATTTTAGATGTCAGAAACGATGTACAAATCTGTTCCATGTTACAGAGGAAAAGTGGAAGGTATGTACAATCTAAACTTACCACGAGCTCTAACTGAAGCGAGCATACAAGTCAGCAATCTCTTGCTAATAGACTCATCAGTAACAGAGAGAAGGCAGGCAAGAGACATTTTGGCAGGGTGAGAAGTAACAAGCACTTTGGGTGGAGGCTGTGGTTCGGAAGACAGTGATATAAGGAGCTCTTCACACGGAGTCAGCATCATTCCTTCTTCCCTAATTACCTGGAAGTGGGAAACACATTCATGATAACCTTTTAAAAATTTGAGAACATGTGACAAGAGCATGAATTGTTTACTGTAGGTATGACTAACCCTAGGTAGTAGGTTGGTAGACAACAACCACCCAGGGAGGTACTACTGTCTTGCCAAGTGAGTGTAAAACGGAAGCCTGTAATTGTTTTACATGATGGTAGGATTGCTGGTGTCCTTTTTTTGTCTCATAAACATGCAAAATTTCAGGTACGTCTTGCTACTTCTACTTACACTTAGGTCACACTACACATACATTTTTTTTTTTCAACAAGTCGGCCGTCTTCCACCGAGGCAGGGTGACCCAAAAATAAAGAAAATCCCCAAAAAGAAAATACTTTCATCATCATTCAACACTTTCACCTCACTCACACATAATCACTGTTTTTGCAGAGGTGCTCAGAACACAACAGTTTAGAAGCATATTTTTTTTTTTTCAACAAGTCGGCCGCCTCCCACCGAGGCAGGGTGACCCAAAAAAGAAAGAAAATCCCCAAAAAAAAGAAAATACTTTCATCATCATTCAACACTTTCACCACACTCACACATTATCACTGCTTTTGCAGAGGTGCTCAGAATACAACAGTTTAGAAGCATATACATGTACGCATAAAGATACACAACATATCCCTCCAAACTGCCAATATCCCAAACCCCTCCTTTAAAGTGCAGGCATTGTACTTCTCATTTCCAGGACTCAAGTCCGACTATATGAAAATAACCGGTTTCCCTGAATCCCTTCACTAAATATTACCCTGCTCACACTCCAACAGATCGTCAGGTCCCAAGTATCATTCGTCTCCATTCACTCCTATCTAACACGCTCATGCACCCTTGCTGGAAGTCCAAGCCCCTCGCCCACAAAACCTCCTTTACCCCCTCTTTCCAACCCTTTTGAGGATGACCCCTACCCCTCCTTCCTTCCCCTATAGATTTATATGCTTTCCATGTCATTCTACTTTGATCCATTCTCTCTAAATGACCAAACCACCTCAACAACCCCTCTTCTGCCCTCTGACTAATACTTTTATTAACTCCACACCTTCTCCTAATTTCCACACTCCGAATTTTCTGCATAATATTTACACCACACATTGCCCTTAGACAGGACATCTCCACTGCCTCCAACCGTCTCCTCGCTGCTGCATTTACCACCCAAGCTTCACATCCATATAAGAGTGTTGGTACTACTATACTTTCATACATTCCCTTCTTTGCCTCCATAGATAACATTTTTTGACTCCACATATACCTCAACTCACCACTCACCTTTTTTCCTCATCAATTCTATGATTAACCTCATCCTTCATAAATCCATCCGCCGACACGTCAACTCCCAAGTATCTGAAAACATTCACTTCTTCCATACTCCTCCTCCCCAATTTGATATCCAATTTTTCTTTATCTAAATCATTTGATACCCTCATCACCTTACTCTTTTCTATGTTCACTTTCAACTTTCTACCTTTACACACATTCTCAAACTCATCCACTAACCTTTGCAATTTTTCTTTAGAATCTCCCATAAGCACAGTATCATCAGCAAAAAGTAACTGTGTCAATTCCCATTTTGAATTTGATTCCCCATAATTTAATCCCACCCCTCTCCCGAACACCCTAGCATATACTTCTTTTACAACCCCATCTATAAATATATTAAACAACCATGGTGACATTACACATCCCTGTCTAAGACCTATATACGTATAAAAATACACAATATATCCCTCCACAATATATCCCGAAACCCCTCCTTTAGAGTGCAGGCATTGTATTTCCCATTTCCAGGACTCAAGTCCGGCTATATAAAAATAGCCGGTTTCCCTGAATCCCTTCACTAAATATTACCCTGCTCACACTCCAACAGATCGTCAGGTCCCAAATACCATTCGTCTCCATTCACTCCCATCGAACACGCTCGTGCATGCCTGCTGGAAGTCCAAGCCCCTCACCCACATAACCTCCCTTACCCCTTCCTTCCAACCTTTTCGAGGATGACCCCTACCCCGCCAACCTTCTCCTACAGATTTAAATGCTCTCCATGTCATTCTACTTTGATCCATTCTCTCTAAATGACCAAACCACCTCAACAACCCCTCTTCAGCCCTCTGACTAATACTTTTATTAACGCCACACCTTCTCCTAATTTCCACACTCCTAATTTTCTGCATAATATTTACACCACACATTACCCTTAGACAGGACATCTCCACTGCCTCCAACCGCCTCCTCGCTGCTGCATTCACAACCCAAGCCTCACACCCATATAAGTGTTGGTACTACTATACTTTCATACATTCCCTTCTTTGCCTCCATAGATAACGTTTTTTGACTCCACATATACCTCAATGCAACACTCACCTTTTTTCCCCTCATCAGTTCTATGATTAACCTCATCCTTCAAAAATCCATCAGCCGACACGTCAACTCCCAAGTATCTGAAAACATACATGTACAAACATATATATACATACCCCTCTGGGTTTTCTTCTATTTTCTTTCTAGTTCTTGTTCTTGTTTATTTTCTCTTACCTCCATGGGGACGTGGAACAGAATTCTTCCTCCGTAAGCCATGCGTGTTGTAAGAGGCGACTAAAATGCCGGGAGCAAGGGGTTGGTAACCCCTTCTCCTGTATAAATTACTAAATTTGAAAAGAGAAACTTTTGTTTTTCTTTTTGGGCCACCCTGCCTCGGTGAGATACGGCCGGTTTGTTGGGAAAAAAAAAAAAAAAAGGTATGACTAACATTCAAAATTTTATGCCAAAAAATAGGCTAAAGAAATAACACAAATTTCAAGCAGTTATTGAGAGTGAACCCTAATTTAACACAGCCCTGGTCTGGGAGATTTTGTTACTGCAGCCTCCAACAAGCTTAGCTAGGTAAATATTAAACACAAAATCTTAATAAAACATGGCAGAAATTTTGATATTGCCAAGAGTAGGTGGATGGCCATCTGCCTGTAACAAAGTGTTTGCCAAGCACTTTTGTTATTACCCTAACTGTCTCATCTCTGGGTATTATTAACCATAGCACCCAAGAACACAAGTGATGCTGGGGTTATCAGAAATATGAGTAAAATCCCTTGATAACCCAGAAACTGGAAGTGTAAGGTAATGTTCAAAATAGTACACATGAAGCAGCTGCCTGCAACAGCACCACTACCATCAAGAACAATAGTCACTGCAAAACCACTACCAGCATGAATAGTAAAAGCTCCAGCAACACCATTACCAGCATCACAGCATCAGCAGCCCCAGCAAAATCACTACTAGCATCAATGGTACCAGCAATGCCTAGAGCAAGAGCAGCTGCTATTAACCTCTTTCAAAGAAAACAATGATAGCTTACACTTTGGGACATTTATGTGAAAGCTTATGTTTTTTCATTACTCAGAGAATCCTAGACATAATTTGCAAGGCTAAGCAGTGTCTACTTTTTTGAGACATACATAACTAGAGGACAGTACTGGGCAACATGCTGACTGCTGAAGCTCACACTTATCCACCCCAACACACTGCTATATGTTTTATGGAAGTCTCTGTTCACTTACTGTTTAGAAAATCCTTGTCTTGAAAGGTACATACAAGTAGCGTTTACCCTTTATTTCTGCAGTGTAACAAGACAATATAGATGACTCTACATGTGGCTTACCCTCCATTATTACTGTATATTCAGAGGAGTGCTAAACCCATAGGTGTCATACAATGGCTGGGGAAATGGGGGACAATCAGGTTCAATCCAATGATGGAGTGGGCAGGTCCAATTCCTTGGATCAAGAGCCCCCAGCATCAGTTTAACCTGTAGTCAGCTGATCATACAGTACTTTAATACTGTAAATGTACATGCATATTTAAAAAAAAATTCATTTTTCTACGTTTTTCTCATTATTGCACAAAGAGTAGCACATGCACCCAACAAAATTTATGATATTAGCATTAATAAAGAAAACACTGTGGTACTCTAGATAACGTGTGAAGTATTACATGTTTTTGATGTTAAGAGTCACAATCTACTTAGGTGAGTGACTAGCTTTTCCCCAAAACAAGTCACAGTAGCAAAAGCCCAGTAATGAGACACTCAGAAACTGAATACCCAGGGAGCTCACTGCTGTCAATAACAAACCACAATGCATAAAACATAGCTTAACAACATAACTGCCAAAAGGTAGGTAAGCTGTATGTAACTAATTTAAATTGTCTATTGTGGACAGGGAAAGGAAAGGGTTAACTTTGCAGACATTTGGACCATAATCAAATTTTTCCTTCATATATTAGCCTTTTTTTTAGCACTATTTTAATTTGCATGCCAATTTTCAGGTGTAACCACCCCATCTCTAAATAACCATTTACTTCAAGCAAAGTTGAAATTTTGAAGGATTAATATATGTTCTTTCCAACTAAAAAATAAATAGAAGCACAAATAAATTCATAAAGATTCAAGACTCTACCTTAGGGTATTTATCTTTTATCTTTTCACGAAATGCTGAATCTCTGGATGTCTGATCTTCTGCATTGCCAGCAATTGAACTATAAGCTACAATATCACCCCATTCATCTTCAACCACCATAACAGCTACATCTTTAAGAGTTTCATCTTCAAGAGCATCCAAGTAACTTCCAACTATCCTGTAAAGAAAATTAAGAGATAAATTTTTATCAAGTGCATGCTACGTGTGTTATGTAATTACTCTGTTTCTTTATATTTTTTTATAACACACTGGCCACTCCCCACGGAGGTAGGAAACTCAAAAAGGAAGAAACACTTTCACCATCATTCATACAGTCACCATCTTGCAAGAAGTATGCTGACATTACATTTCAGATGAGCTGCAATATCCCCAACCCACTTCAGTGCAAGTACTGTACTTCCCACCTTAAGACTCAAGTCTGGCTAACCAATTTCCCTGAAGACCTTCATAAATATCACCTTTCTCACAATCCCAACAGTACGTTATATCATACACGAGGCCGGGTCTCAGACCGGGCTGCGGGGGCATTGACCCCCGAAACCCTCTCCAGGTATACTCCAGGTGTAAAAGCCACTTGCCTCCACTCACTCTCATGTTCTTACACAAGCCTGTTGGATAGGGAAAACACTTAGAACTCGAAACCTATGCCCCCTCCATCCTACCCTATTCCTCCTCCCATCCACCCCAGATCTATGTAACATCCTAGTCAACTTAGCTTACTCCTTTTTGACATATTTAAAACTCATGCCTCACACTCATACAACAAAACCCATGAATTCATGCATCAGTCAGTCAAGTCAGGTAGGTCAATCAGTCATCAAGTTAGGTCAGACTCATTCATTCACTCATTCACTCACATACACACACACACACACACACACACACACACACACACACACACACACACACACACACACACACACACACACACACACACACTGCAAGAACTGTAATAGCATCTACAGCAATTGTACACAATTTATACATATCATTAACAGTCAAAACCAAGGCAGATAAACATTGTCAGTTTAGTGTGTACATAAACTGTTTTGTGGAATTTTGAGTGACAGAATTTGAGTACTAAAACAAACAATACAATTACAGTATGCATGTTTAAGATAAGTTATTGTTTAAAAAAAAAAAAAAATTTCTAGTACCTTCAAAATATTTTAAAGAACATGTGCCAAATTAGTCACTGCTCCAGAAGGCTTTGAAATATACTCCCAATTTTTTTTTTAAGTGGGAAATTACATATTACACTGTACAATTACAATGCTAAACTTCATTTTCTGAGACAAGCGAGGTGTTTCAAGATGAAAGCCAATGTGAGGATGCATTCTCAAGACAATAAATTTAAGGAAAAACAGTAACTGAAAACCATGTAGATAGGCCCCCCAACTTTCCCTCCTGATATGGATATTAACCCTTTGACTGTTTTGGTCGTATATATACGTCTTACGAGCCACCGTTTTTGACGTATACTTATAAATTCTAGCGGCTTCAAATCGGGCAGGAGAAAGCTGGTAGGCCCACACATGAGGGAATGGGTCTGTGTGCACCATATAAACAAAATCCTGCAGCACGCAGTGCATGAGGAAAAAAAAAAAACTCCGACAGTTTTTTTTTTATTAAAATGCTGAATTTGTGGTCAATTTTTGTATAGTATTTATGGTTGTATTCTCGTTTTCCTGGTCTCATTCGATAGAATGCAAAACATATTATAGAAATAGAGGTAATTTTGATTGGTTTTACTATGAAAAAAACCTTGAAATGGAGCTCAAAGTATGGGAAATGTTTGATTTTTGCCGATGTTCAAAAGTAAACAAATGATGTCATTTTCCAATAAATGTCCAAGTAGCCATTCTAGTATGCAGTCATGAATGGATTAACATTATTTATACAATTATTATAATATTGCAGTAGTCTGCATAATAGTAAATCTTCTATTTTTTTAATAAAAATTCAAAATAGAAAGCAAGAGTAATATCAGAGAGGCCTGGAGACATGACTGATGAACAAAGAAAATGTTATTTTACAGCCAGGAATGTCTGCATTGTTCATTCTGGACCCTATTTTGAAATTGTCATATTTTTTAATTTTCATGAAATTGGCCAAATTGCAAATTTCTGACCACG